GGAAACTCCTTCTTGACTTTCTCCTTCCTTAAGCAAGTGGATTATCTTGTATTTAATCTCCTCTGGAATATCTTGTAAAAATGAATCAGTTGTACTCAATGGCTGTTTTTGACAAATTCCAGTTTTCCAGTTTTGGAAACTCCTGTTTTTTCACTCCGACTTTCTCCTTCCTTATGCAAGGGGATTATATCTAATCTCAAAATATCTCCTGAAACATAAATAACTTGTGCTTAATGGGTGTTTTGACTGTAAATTAAATAATGAACAGTGATTATTGACTTGTCCACAGTACAGTACGTTTCAGTTGCTAAGACTCACTGATACTCTACATAAGAACGGTCACATGTTCTTGCTAAACATGTTTCCCCTGCTGTGGTAGTTCAGCTAATCCTGTGGCTGAAAATGTTGCTGCTGTATTTGTGCGATGTATAGAACACAGTACGGCTGATTGTGTTAAAGAGAACATCGAGCCTCATTCACCAACATCTTCCTAAGTCTGTTCTTAAATGTGTTCTTGAGAAAGGTCCTAAGAAAAAGTCTACGTCTGATTTGTGTTGTGTTCTAAAAGGGCAGAACTGTTCTCACCTTTGTGCTCTTGAGTTTGTGTAGATTCTGTTCTTACCTAAGAACAGTGGTGGACGAAGTACACAAACCATGTACTGGAGTTAAAGTAGAGACACCCAAGGTAAAATATTACTCCAGTAAAAGTAGAAGTTCCTCCCTTTAGACCTCCACTTGAGTAAAAGTACAAAAGTATTTGCCTTCAAATGTACTTAAGTATCAAAAGTAAAAGTACTAAAAGATTAATTATGACTCTGATGTCCTGTTATCATTTCTGTAACAAGACTCGCTTCATTAACTCATTTTAGGTGAAAATACTCCAGTGTCTCTCTTGGTAAACCAGTCTTTTAATAGAGTCATTAATTAGTGACGCTGATGTCTATTAAAATTATCATAAGCACAAAACACTGAAGGCGAACAGTTTCCATCAGGTAGAACTGAGTGGCTCTGAAATCACTTTTTACAAACAAGCAAAGTTTCAGTTTAAGATTTATTTGAACTTAGTTCCAAGTTTAAGATTAATAAACTTTAAACTCAGATTCACAAATGAGTTTCCTTTACTAAACTGCGTCTGTAGGTCTCTGTTCATAAACTTAAACTAGCCAAAACTAATTTACTATAAAATGAAATAATGTTTGTATAAATTCCGAAAAAAGTCTCGTCAGTCTCAACTGCATATGAGTACATATTTCTATATTGTGGTCTGTTTACACAAAGTTAGGTTAGTTCATCATTTATGTTGAATAGACTCTCCCAAAATTTTACGCTGCTGCACTGATGTTGAACCGTGTGCTGCACTGGGTCGGTATGACCAACAGGTCAAAACAAGCTCAAAACAAAGTGACTGCTGTTCCCTGATTGGTGTTCTTGCTTTGCGCTCCTTTCGTTTTGACATGTTATGTTTTTATACACACATAAACCAAAAGGAACGACAGATTTCTCATAATGTAGTGGAGTAAAAAGTGAGATATTTGACTTTGAAATGTAGTGGAGTGAAAGTAAAAAGTCACCCAAAATTGAAATACTTCAGTAAAGTACAGATACACGAAAAACTACTTAAGTACAGTAATGAATTACATTTACTTAGTTACTGTCCACCACTGCCTAAGAACAAACCTCAAATAAGAGAACATTGGTGAATCAGAGTCTTCGTAAAAATCCATAAGTGGGTTTTAGAAGAAATTTCTTCTTAAGAACGGTTGGTGAACGAGGCCCATTGATTCACACGGTGCTACTCATTTGTACAAATTTGAAAACAAAGCTTGGATCATGATATGAATCAAAGTGCTTCAGCGTCTCAGATGTTCTACAAGGGCAAACTGAGCTGATTCTGCACAGCAGGCAGTTCTTCATGCAGGTACATCAGCGCAAAACCTGTCGCTTCGGTTCAGAGCTTGCGGAATATGTTTCAGCTCCTATCAGCAGGATCCAAAGTCATTGTGACAAAAAGAAAGACTCTTTATTTTTAAAAGTACATGAAAGGTTCTTGGCTTGAACGTACGGATCTTGAGAAACCCTTTAGGGTCCTTTTTATTGTGTTGAGTATTTTTAAAGCTTGAAAACATTATTTACACTTGTGCATCTCATTTACAGAAATGGTTCTTTTAAAGGGGCCACATTTTACATTTTTCTTGTATTTTTATATTTTTGAGGCTCATGTATGACATCTGTATGGGTTTAACTCATTTTCATGACCATTTTCCAACCTCTGTTTTATCCCTTAGGCTGGGTTTTTGCCAGAAATTACATGTTCTATTCATTTTCTAGGTGAAAATAAATATCCTCTACAGGGAAAAACAAATATGGCATTTTAGTGCACAATTTCTTTTGATTTATAGAGTTTAACATATTTCAAAAACATAAAATTCACAAAACATTTTATGTTTTGTTTTTTCCCCCCCAATATATTCAAGTAACTTGTTTAACTAATTTAACTTATTGTCACTTGGAAAATCAAATAAAACATGTATTTTGAGTGTGCATTTGATTGTATATGTAAATGAATGTTCTGATTGGCTGCGCCTCATTCAAAATACAGTCCAGGCTAAAACATTCCTTACAACTTCAATGTAAGTGGGCGGAGCTAAACCGCCTTAGGCTGTAGTAGATATATGGTAATGCCATGTTGACTCATGTTTGCTTGTTTTAGAGTTTGTATTTTTATATTTTATTTAGATATTTTCAAAGCAGCAGCCGTAACTGTTTAAGTTAATGATGCATTTTCACTACAGTGAGCCGACTTGCTTCCCTTGACAACTGTTGGTCGTTTTGGGGGCGTGTCACCAAAACAAAGAGGGAACATCTAGCCCAGGGGTTGGAACCCAAATGTTAAGAAGAGCCATTTTGTCTTTTCAACAAAAATCAAACCTTCTTGGGAGCCACAACATTTTATGTCCATTTTACCATCTTGGCTGTAAATGTGTCTCAGTATGTGCTGATGTTCTGGTATAGACTAAAAAACATAATATAAACGAAAACACAGACTCACTTTGCTCTGCTTTAAGCTTTAGCTCAGCTATAACCGCTTTTCTCACATCTCCAGCAGGAAACTTTTCCTCAAAAGTAGAACAGTTTCTTGTAAAATGTCTCTCAACGTTCGACTTTTCATGAGGCTGAAGTCGCTTCTCATTCGCCAGCTTTTCCTGTTCCACCTTAAATGGTGCCTGAGGTGCCAGAGTGTAACTGCTGCACCATTTAAGGTGGAACGGGAAAATTCGAACGACAGGCTTCAGCTTCACAACTTTTTAGTTTTTCAGTTTCTTCTTGCAAATTAAACGTATCAGGAAACCAGCTGGAGTGATTATAAATGAAAATCAGTCCATTAATCTCCAAATTATCAATGTTCATCTTAAATCTCTCTCTTTGCCGTTTCGTTAGCTACTAGCTAGGTGAGACTGTTGTCTGTGTTGCTATGGTGACCAGCAGTCTGCACTGATCTTCAGGGTTAAAGGGTGAATTAGCAGTTCTACATTAACTCCAGAGTTTAAGACCATTTATTGTTAAACTGTGTTGAACGATCAGCAGAGCTTTATTTTACTGTAAAGGAGGATTATTTTATTTTCACCTACAAATCAGATTCAGCTGTGGAGCCACAACAGGACAGTAAAAGAGCCGCATGTTGCCGACCCCTGATCTATGCAGAGGTATAGACCAGTTCTGAGCCAGAAAGCAGCCTAATATTGTTTTATAACCTTAAACAAATCATCTGACATGATAATAATGTTTTATGAACTGTTACATCTCCTGCTCGGTGTGCTTTCCAGTGATAAACTTCAGCGTGTGACTGTGGGCGTGACACAGTCATCTGTTTCAACAATTTAATTGGTTGCCACTCAGTTCATTTGCATAAAGTTCATCCAGAATGAGGGAGCAGAGAGAGGCTGTGCATCAGTGGCCTTATGTGTCAGTTATACGTATATTTTGTAATTTCTCGCCTAATCATAGCACGTTATGACACGTTCTGTTTAAAGTATCAAAAAATATCCAACACAAAATGCGAATCATTATGCATTACGTCATCGTTTACATCACTCAGGCTACTTTCACGTTACAAGCCTCATTGCTCAAATACGATCAAATCTGTCATCACTGTGAACGAGCCGGCATCCTTAAATGAGCCGCATGCGCACAACCTAACCAATCACGTGCATCATGAACAGCAAACAAGCTATCGGGCAGAACGAGCCTTCGCTCCAAATATAATTAGCTCTAAACAGCTCTCAGCTTCATTATTAGAGCGAGACGAAGGAGAAGAAGGTGAGATGAGCTGCTTTTTTACCATTTACAGGCTTTAATTTCTGTTCGGGGCTGCTGCCATGGTAACGAAAGCACATGAATTCTGATCTGAGCTCCTCATTAAAGTCGCACGGCCACGAATCGGATACATATCTGACTTTGGACCACATGTGAAAGGCTGCGTTCACATTACCAGGTTGAAGTGGCACAAATCTGATTTTTTTGCCCTAATGTGACTCAGATCTGATGTTTTCAGGGCTGTGTGGACACAAATCTGATCTTTTTAAATCCGACCTGAGTCACTTTCATATGTGGTCCTAGATCGGATACGTATCCGATTCGTGGCCATGCGACCTTAATGTGACGCTCAGTTCGGAATCCATGTGCTTTTTTTCCACTGCGCCGTCATTCAGTGTTACCATGGCAGCAGCGCCGAACAGAAGTTAAAGCCTGTAAACGATGGAAAAGCAGCTCATCTCACCTTTTTCTCCTTCATCTCGCTTTGCGTGTCCACACAGCCCTGAAAACATCAGATCTGAGTCACATTAGGGTAAAAAAATCGGATTTGTGCCGTTTCAACATGGTAATATGAATGTAGCCTTACACACTTCTTAAAATTTCAGCACCCTCAACCTAAAACACCCACGTTGCTGACTTCAGCCCCTGTTTAACGCACTGAATTTGTTTTGTTTTTGGCTCTCCAGGTCCATCACCACTTCCTATTACCGTAACTCGGTGGGCGGCCTCCTGGTCTTCGACCTGACCAATCGGAAAACCTTCGACCACGTGCGGGAGTGGCACCGCGAGGTCAGCGAGCACATCCTGCCGCACCACATGGTCTACATCCTGGTGGGCCACAAGAGCGACCTGAACCGGGAGCGCAAGGTGTCTCGGGACGAGGCGGAGCAGCTGGCGGCCGAGCTGGGCGTGCGCTACGTGGAGACGTCGGCCAAGTGCAACAGCAACGTGGAGCGTGCCTTCGAGCTGCTCACGCGCGACATCTACGAGCTGATGAAGATGGGCGAGATCTCCACCCGCGACGGCTGGGACGGCGTGAAGAGCGGCCTGACCGCCAAGGTCCTGTACCCGGCCGAGGAGGAGGCGGAGAGGGAGAAGAGCTGCAACTGCTGACTCGGGCCGACCGCACTTTAACCTTTCACCTGTTTGTGTCCGTGTCAGTCCGTCGCTCACTTTTCACGCCTTCGCTCCCCCTGTCGGGCCTCGGCGAGGGCCCAGGGACGCCATCGCACCGCTCGCCCCCTGCACTGTTGTCGTCGTCGGTCTCCACGCTGGGAAAATGCAGTTTCGTGAACTAAGCTTCTCTGAATTGGATAGACCTCAGGTTGGATAAATCTGAGCCTGGATGGACAGAGCACAGCTCTGAGGGAGAGCCATCAGCTCCAGGAAGACGTCTCGGAAGTGTCGTTGTTGAAAGACTTGGTGCCAGACTTCTGTTTTTGTGTTCACAGGGTTCCCCATGTTCTCTTCCAGCTGTAAAGCTCTTGTTCCTTTTGTCGTATAGTGATGAGACCCTCAGAAGTCATGCATTTAGAGGCCACGACACACTGACCCAACATGCCAACTAAGTAGGGATGTGCATTCTGAGTGATTTTGACATCTGTAAGAGTTAAACAATGGAAAAATTATTCAGCTGACAACAACAATTCTCATAATCAAGGTGTCCATTGTGACGCCCTTTTCTAAAATCTTGAACTTAAATGGGGGACGGACGCCCCTAGATTGGCAGCAGTGCTTAATTCAGTGGATACTTAGCTATAGCCACTTTTCCACTGCATGGTATCCGCTCGACTCGACTCTAATCGGCTTTTTTTGGTTTTCCACCAGGCAAATCTGGTACCTGATACCTGGTACCGGGTACTGTTTTTGGTACCACCTCCATCAAGGTTAAAGGCTAAACAGATATTCTAACGGTAGCTACCAGGTTAGCGTAGCCTCTTGTGTCGCCTTTTTTGAGCAACCAGAATCGTCTGAACTCTGATGTCGTTTTTGCCAGACTCTCCTCTTTTGTCTTGCTGTCATCAGCCTCTCCTGAGCAAAACGTCTCCTTCACGTCAGCAGTTTCATTTGGCCTCACGGCTACATTGAGGAGGTGCTATATCTGCAGCGGGAAATGAAGTAGCTGGTACCAAAAGCGAGTAAATTCGAGTCGAGCCGAGTCAAGCTGAGCTGGCACCATGCAGTGGAAAAGCGGCTTACGCTTATGATGGAGGCAGGTGGGCAGCAGTGGTGCTTAATCCCAACTCGAAGGGAATCTAAATTGGGTTTGATGAAAATACACAACAAAAGCCGTTTTAATCCTCAAAAGAAATGCTAACATAAGCCTAGACTGTGGGACGTTAATGGAATTCCTTTTTTTCCAAGACAGAGGACCGAAATCCAAGATGATCCAGGAAAATCCTGTTCAGGTGGCAGCCCTGGCTAAACCTGTGTGGTGGTGCTAGCAGGCTAAAAACATCAGAAAGGCGTGGCTTTAAACAAAACTGAACATTTAAAAACAGGTTTTACTGCTCAAAAAGAGGCAAGAGACGTTGTGTAGACACAGCAGGCTAAACTGGTAGCAACAGATAAACACAAAGCTTGATAAACAGGCTTTGCTAATGAGCTAATGCTAACAATACGGCTACCGCTGCAGCGATAGACTCATAGGTTTCTGATGATGTGCCGACAGATTAGTTAGTCAGGGCAGCACTGAGAACAGTGACATATCTGCTCATAGTTTTATGGTTCTAGCTAACAGCAGCTAGAGGAGTGAGCCTAGCTAAGCCACGTTATCTCTGCCTTCTCAATCTCGTTCTTAACAGCGCGTCGTTAGCAACGCGCTCACTTTAAGGTACTTAATGTTTTGTAGTAGCAAAATATAAATTACTTCATCTTAAATTCAAGCAAAACTATCACACTTTAAAACCCTGATAAAACTAAACGGTGTTTTGATTAATTAGTAGCTTCTAGATTTTCTCCTGACGTTCTGCGATGAAGAGAAACTCCTACGTGAGCGGTGATTTCAGTATTCGAATACTGGCACCTGGAACCGTAACAGAGTACTCGAGTACCCGCGCGCATCCCTACAGTATATACCCTGATATTCCTCTGTCGGGAGTCGACTTTGTTCTGTTATAGAATAAGAACTGAATAGAGGAAATAACCAGTGTGGAAGCAGAACATTCTAGAACAGTGTCAGTGAAGTTTTTTAGGACGGTGTGAATGAAAAAGAACATTCTAGAACAATGTGAAGTGTTTTTAGGATGGTGTGAATGAAGGAAGAATGTTCTAGAACAGGGTGAATGGGAGAGAACATTCTAGAACAGTGTCAGTGAAGTTTTTTAGGATGGTGTGAATGAAGAAAGAACATTCTAGAACAATGTGAAGTGTTTTAGTATGGTGTGAATGAAGGAAGAACGTTCTAGAACAGGGTGAATGAAGTGTTTTAGGATGGTGTGAATGAAGGAAGAACGTTCTAGAACAGGGTGAATGAAGTGTTTTAGAATGGTGTGAATGAAGGAAGTTCTCAAACACAGTGAACGGGGAAAAGATTCTAGAACAGTGTGAATGGAAGGAGAGACATTTTTAAAACTGAATAGAGGTAGAACATTCTAGAACAGCGTGAATGGAAGGAGAGACATTCTTAAAACAATATGAATAGAGGGAGAACGTTCTAGAACAGTGTGAATGGAAGGAGAGACACTCTTAAAACAATGTGAATAGAGGGAGAACGTTCTAGAACAGTGTGAATGGAAGGAGAGACACTCTTAAAACAATGTGAATAGAGGGAGAACGTTCTAGAATAGTGTGAATAAAGGGAAAGCATTCTAGAACAGTGTGAACGTTTTAGAACTGTGCAGTAATAGATGGAGAACATTCTAGAACATTGGGCCTCATTCTCCAACATCTTCCTACGTTTGTTCTCAAGTGTGTTCTTGAGAAAGGTCCTAAGAAAAAGTCTACGTCAGATTCATGTCGTGTTCTTAAAGCGCAGAACCGTTCTCACCTCTGTGCTCTTGAGTGTGTGTAGATTCTGTTCTTACCTGAGAACGAATCCCAGATAAGAGAACATCGGTGAGTCAGAGTCTTCATCAAAACTGCTTAAGTGGGTTTAAGAAGAAATTTCTTTGTAAGAACGGTTGGTGAACGAGGCCCAGTGTGAGTGAGGAGAGCGTTCTAGAACAGCGTAAATGGAGAGATGATTCTAGAACAGAATGGGGTCGGAACATTTCTACAACAGTGTGAATGCGGGAGAACACTTTTGAACAGTGTTCTAGAGCCAGACGTTTGGGTTTGTTGGTGTTTGTTGGGTCAGTTTGCCGTGGCCTTTACGGTCCCTCTGTGGAAAACTTTACACGTTGACATTTTTCCACTTAAATAATTTTTATTTTATGTTTTTAACCTCCGTTTTTTTCCTCCTTCTTTATTTCGTCTCTACTGTACATATTTCTAGCTTTCGCAGCCAAATACGTCACACATGGACTTACATTTTAAATAGATTACATACTTTACAGCACAGCTATGATGTAAACAAGGCCGCGTGGAAACTTTCGGTTTGTGTGATTGGCAAAGACATGATCGTCTGGAGTCGAGATTCTCTGTTATCTCTGTCTGGGTGCTGTTGTCTGACAATACCAGTTCAAGTTCTAAGCTGTTAGCCATATCCGCCAAAACAGTAAACATTTCATCTATTAGATGGAGGCCTGTATGTATTATCATGTAATAACTGATACATATTCATCATCAGGATGAAACACAATCATCTCAGAATTCAGCAAAGAATCTCTCTGTAGTAAAACAGTGAGTCATGAAAGGCTGTCAGTGCCACCTGCTCTATTAGACGGTTCCTTCTCCCGGCGTTTCCTTCTCTGGCAGGTCCTGGAGACCCTTACAGCCTCGTAAAGCTGTACTACTCTAACTAGGAGAGCAGCAGCCCTGCTGAGGAGTAAACAGAGGGCAGTAGTGGGCCGCATGTGAGCTCAGACAGGCGTACGAGACGGCACAGCGCTTCTGTTTCTGATAGCGATACTGATACTGAAACCTATATCGGCTGATGTTGATACCAATCTGATATTTTTTCCCCAAAAGGTTTTAAACAAGCTCTGGGGGCAGTCGTGGGCTGGCGGTTATTTGCCACAATAGGGCAATAAAAGAGCCGCGTGTTGCCCAGCCCTGCACTAAACATATGCATATACATACCAACCACAGTTGAGTTACGTGACTTAAGCAATTCTGAACAAAGTTACTGTTTTACAAGCAAAAAACATTTTCAAAACCTGGTCCAACATGGTCACTCATGGTTTGTTCGCTGCTTTTTGAGGTAAGGAGCTCCGGTAGCAGTGTGGGTGTTCAGAGGCCTCGACTCCCACCTAAAAAGAATCAAGATGCGCCTCTTAAGAGGTTGACAAATGTGTGAATATGACGTACATACATATATAATTTATCGCCGCTGAGGAAGAAAACCTCGTATCTCCATTTTTGTCGCTTTTCAGTTTTTGATATAATTTAAAAATGCCAGTTACATTATGACGAATTTTCATGATGAATGGACCAAAAGAAACGGCCCAAAATGACTTGGAAAATATTCTGGTTCCATTGACTTACATTAAAAGGAAAGTAGGTTTTTTCCTTCTCCTGTAAAGTCACAGTTTTGGAGATGGAGATTTTCTTCCGACAGCAGCGTTTTAACAATATTTCTATAACAAAACACAAATGTTAGAAAAAAGCAAGAATTCATGGTGTTAGAAAACGAACTTTTCCACTATATTGGACGAGTGACTAGGAATCCCTTGATTGGTCAGATGACATATGGTGCCTTTCGTGGCCGCTCAACACAAACATTGAATCTTAAATCTTAAATCTAGTCTAATATTTAGTTTAAGTATCTAATATTTCTCACTATGGGATAAGGTTTAACTTACTTTTAAATTTTTTCTTTTACTTATTTTTATTTCATTAAATTCTCACTATATTGACAGAATAAATATCCTTAAAACAAGCAATCTGGCAATATAATATCAACTCTAACGCATGGCTTATAAATGCGAAGCGTGCTGTTCAGGCTGGACGAGCCCTTTTCAGTCGATCCACCAACCACATTAAAAGAAGCATGTTTAAGAGCCGCCGTCTGCAGCTTTAAATCGTGCTGGGTTAAAACTATAACTTTGTCGCTGTTTCTTCTCAGTGAATCCGTTTCTTCTTCCTCTTCGTCTGCTTTTACTGAAAAAGTTGCATCGGACTTGATGTGAAGTTTTCAGCGCATTAAAAATTGCAGTCGCTCTTGTTATAAAGTCATAAAAACAACATACAGTCGCTGTCGGAGCAAAACCTCGTATCTCCAAAGTGATGACTTTACAGGAGAAGCGAAAAATGTTCTTAATTTTTAATGGAAGTTAATGGAGAAAAGATTTATTCCAAGTCATTTTGGACCGTTTCTGTTGGTCCATTCATCATGAAGCCCTCACACAGTGTAAAGAGCAGCTGGCCATTTCAAATTATGTCAAAAAATGAAAAATGGACAGTTTTCTCGCAAGGTTATTACGTCCACCGACTCGCTGGGAGCTCCAAACTCATAACCCAATACCCATAGTCTGATTTTTCTTACTTTCTTTCCTTCTTTTACCAAAAATAGACAGAAACGTAGGACTCGGATCACAGATTAGAGCACTGAATGCTCGTACATCAAAAAAAAAACCTGATTATATATCGATTTCATGGCTTTTATCAGTAATTGTTGATAAATCAGTAAGTGGTCTTGCCATACAGACGACATAATAGCAGCTCTCTGCTTTGCTGAGTAGCTACTGTTTTGGTGTTAATGTTAACGTTGGGCTACATGAGCTACTGTTGTTATCATGTGACCTACTTTGCTTTCTATTGCAAAACAAACAATTATGTGATGTTTCA